CAAGGGGGACTCGTTGGGAGGTGGCGTGGGCCAGGGTTACAGTCATGGGGTGAGGCAAGAGGGTAGGGCAAACTCAGGGGGGCTTCAGGATAGAATAGATTGCCTTTGGGGGCATCTCCCCACAACCAGCACCCGGAGGTGAAGGAGAGCCTCCAACGGCCTGCATAAATTAGGATTATTAGGTTCATGCTCCCCCGGTATTTAGTGCAATTCCAGGCGGCCTACCGAGTGCTCCCGCCTCCTCTTCCCCCGCCACAACATCCCTGTGAGGTGGGCTGGGCCGACGGGGAGGGGCTGGCCCGAAGCCACCCAGCTGCCTCTGTGCCTACGGGAGGACTCGAACTCCCGCTTTCTAACCCGGCAGTTTGCCCCCTACGCCAAACTGGTTTTCATTTATAGTAATAATTAGTGGTTATTTACTGTGGTAATCCCTGAATGCATAACAAAAGGTGGAGACATCCACCCAGTGCCAAACACAGTAAATCCCGTGCAGGGGAAGGGTTTCGAGGGGAAAAAAGGGTGTATTGGCTTTCTGGAAGCTGATGAGCACCAAGAGATGGCACCGATTGCCACTGCTCTAGTTTTTAATGTTTTATTGTTACGAATGGCATTCAGGATCGAAGATTTGTGAGGAGCTGTGTGAAACCCCGTTCTTTCTTTGTCAACATCTCTGAATTTGGACTTTGAGGAGCTTGGGTTTAATACATCATTATTATTATTATTATTATTATTATTATTATTATTATTATTATTATTATTATTATTTCCACAAAGATTCCTGAGCAAATTTAGCAGGACGAGCATAGGAGGAAATCCCTCTTGTACGCCACTGACTTCCATTAGACTAAAGCCCTTTGGGGAGGGCTGGAGAAGGCTTTACGCTGATGACAGTTTTCCAAACCTCCGTTTTAAAAACTGTGGCACATCAGCAACTGTGAATCATAGCTGTGTGCAGCCTCCAGGTTGGATAGCGATGCATCCGAATGGCAGTCGAGCCAGAAAAGGAGGCATTTCTCACAACTTGTGATGGACTTCCCAGGATTAGCCACTGTGAAAAATAGGAAGCTGGGAGAGATCTGTCTTTGGTCTGTTCTGGAACTTTTTTTTTTTTTTTAATGGCCCTCCTTGGAATGCGAAACTAATTCCCGGAGTCCATTTCTCCTTTCTGCTTCTGTCTTAACAGGAACACAAAACAAAACAAAACAAAACAAAACAAAACAAAACCACTGATTTGACAGAATGACTGAAATGGAAAGTAGATCATTTGATTGGTGGCATGCCATATTATCGTGAGCTGGAGGTCAGTTTTCTCCCTGCTAATCATTTCAGAATTCTGGCCTTTCCTTTGCCTGCTTGGTTCAGGGTGGTATTTAATTTAATTTAATTTAATTTAATTTAATTTAATTTAATTTAATTTAATTTAATTTAATTCAGTTTAATTCAGTTTAATTCAGTTTAATTCAGTTTAATTCAGTTTAATTCAGTTTAATTTAATTTAATTTAATGCAATCAAGAAGCCGCTCTGCTCCAAGTGACTCTGGGTGGCTTATGTTTCCAAAAAAAAGTGAGAACAATAAAAACAGCAAAATACAAACAGTTATAAAATTCATTGTCAAGTTAGATTCCTTTCCCCCATACAGCTTAGTTTCCATTTTCTCAGGAAAGTCAGCGTTGTGAGAATGAACCTGATGACATAAACCAAGTTTTGCTTGTTGTCTAGGAAACCAAACATTTGCTTTCAAAGCAGGCTGTGTTTGTCACAGCTTAGTAGGCAGCTTTACCAAGTCGAGAGGCAGACAGAGGAACATCCCTTTCAGAATTCTTGGCAGAAATTCTGGATCACTAAGTAACCGGGAAGAATATCATTCTTTTTCATGCTACAGATAAATAAAGCAAGCTTTCCCAGTGGGAGGCACTCCATATGAATCCCATAATTTCCAGCCAGCCTTTCTGCAATATTCCTCTTGATGACCATGTTAATCTGAAGAAATCAAGATTTCAGTGCCAAGATCACATTATGGCTGGGGATCCCAAGGCCAGCTAGCGGGCTTTTTTGGTTATGGCTCAAGAAACTCCTCTCAAATATAACATCTTTAAAATGGTTTGGGAAGGTGATAAAGATGGAGCTCTTCTAAAGAGTATTCAGTTTTGCTATCAGTTACTGCTGTTATGGTTTTATTGGACAAGAATGGCTTATATTTGATTTGAATTTTATCTTAACTATGAATGGTCTAATTGGGTGTGTGTATTTATTTCTATAGCATGGGGATGTTTTAATGGTTAATTGTAAAGCGCTCAGAGTCCCTGGCAGATTTGGCAGTCATCAAATGTAATAAATAAAGAATGGAATGGAGGAAGTTTCACAGGCACAAAGAGTTGGAAGGTCCTTTGTATCTGTGTGTGTCTTGCAGGTTTTTCCTTCTTGTTGTCAAATGCATTCCTTGAGTGGCTCATACAAGTTTGCTAAACTTTTCAGCCCCTCCAGCATCATGGACTCCATCTGCTCTCCCTCGGCTTGTTGGCTCTGTCTTGATGTGTTGGCCATCTGGGAGTTGCATCCTCTCTGGAGGCGTAGATAGGGGAAGCCGAGCTGACTCCGGAACGGATGTGAGCCGCCACATTCCTTATCAGTTGAGGTTTTCAAGTCATCCTCCTCTCGCCTTACTCTGGAAGTGGCTAGAGAAGCAATGTCAGCTTTTCCTGAAATGGATAAAAGGTCATCTTGGTTCCTGCTCCTGCTAATGTTCTGACCAATTACATGAGAATAGAAGCCTCTCAAGTTACAGAGGGTTTTTTTTCAGGGCAGGGAATGCAGTTCCAGTAGCAGCTAAATCTGAATGCTTTGCATCACATGCTTGGTTTAAAATGTGGCTGGCTAATTTGTGGCTCAGTATTGGAATGAGCTAAGCCTGGATAGTTAATGCATGATTCAGTGGTAGGCATGCACCTTGTGCTGGACTAAAATGGATTGGGTAGTTGGTGAGTAGTTCCAACATTTTTCTGGAATCCTGCCAGGCCTAGCCCAAGGAACTCCAAGAGACCATGTAAATTCAGTCCAGCAATGTTTATTAGCTAGAACCTCTAGCAAGAATCTTCCCAGACTGAAACCCCAGTTCCCAAGCAATGCCAGCCACAACATTGTGAATTCCTCAGGGAGGTGCCAGTCTCATCCTCTTATCTCTCCCTCTCACCTCAGGAGATGAAAGAACATGTTTTTCTCCCTGAGTCTGGCCTTCATAATTCCATTCCATCACAAATCCCCCCTTCATGAGATGAAAGAACATGTTTTTCTCCCTGAGTCTGGCCTTCATAATTCCATTCCATCACAAATCCCCCCTTCATGAGATGAAAGAACATGTTTTTCTCCCTGAGTCTGGCCTTCATAATTCCATTCCATCACAAATCCCCCCTTCATACATATGACACGAAGGAGACCATCCCATGAAGTCATCATATAGTTTATTTGTTTGGGCCTCATAGGTTACATGAACAACAGAAGTATACCAACACACAAGAATCTCTGTAGCTCAAGGTTGAACTGTGGAGTCCTTGATGTTCTCTGAGCTGGGTTGTTTTCTTGCAGATGTTTTGTTACCTGACTAGGTAACATCTTCAGATGTTGAAGATCTGAAGATGTTACCTAGTCGGGTAACGAAATGTCTGCAAGAAAACAACCCAGTTCAGAGAACACCAAGGACCTGGCAAAGGAATTGTGTTTTGTTAACCAGCAGGTATGTCCTACGTGAACCCAGCTTCAACTTGTTCTCTCACAAACCTCCCAAATCCACACCAAAGCTCCTCATCTGCTGACTTTACTGCTAGACCACATGCCTTTAATTATAACATGACAGCATTGCCTGCGATGCATTTGTGATGGAAGGAAGGAACATTGGCAGTGGACTCTTCTGTTATTCTTGATGCTGGATTTGAGCGTTAATTATATGGTAGCGTGTCTGTATATATACTATGCACCCCTTTTGTAACTTGCATGTAGAAACAATAACATGACATTCACTACTGGAAGACAGACAGATTAAATGCTTTTGGCAGCAAACACATGAAGCTTGCATCTTAAGTGGGCTTTTATTATGCACTTTGTCCCAAACAACGCTGCATTTCTCAGAGCAGAAATGTTTTTGTCAGGCCAATATACCTTTAATATGCTTATGAACAAGAATGGCCTTGCAACTTTTATATCAAATGTGCCTAAACCTATAACACCGGGACATAAAACATACAAGTCATCTTCTGAAATTTCCTATGAGCTGCACCAGTGTTAAATGTCCACATGTTCAAAAAGTTCATCTTTCTCACCTTGGGAGAGAGGTGTGAAAAATTAGTTTATCTTTCTCAGGCACGAAATTCTTTTTCAGAGCTGGATTTGTTAGGAGCATTTCCTGAATATATCGTTTTGCGGAAGGGAGCAAAGAACACCTAACCATGAGAAGTCAGCTAAGTAGAGGAGATGACCATTGGGTTTCTCTAGATCAGTAGTTCCCTGAGACCCTTTCAGGGGGTCTGCAAAGTAGAATATTTTAAAATTTCTCAGTCTTAATTCCTAATACAGTGAATACCTATAGATATAACCCATACAAACCAAAGCTCTTTGCCATCCTTAATCATTTTTGAGAATGTAAAGAGGTCCTGAGACCAAAATGTTTGAGAACCTTTGCTCTCGATGCAGAGAGAGGGTTACCAGGCTCTTGTGCATAATAGAAGGGACTAGAGGACAGGATTCCAAGGGTCACAGGCTTAACTGCTACTGCCTTTGGCAAGTTGAGACACAGCCCTGCATCTCAGCAGTAGAGTCACAACAATTGGAACACCCGGGTACAATCACTTGGAACTCATCCTCCAGCCTTTATTTTGAAAAGCCCTGTTGTTCGGTACTGATGCAATGTTTTGGAAGGAGGAGGAATCAGCTGCAGTCCTTGGCACAGCTGGTTGAGAAGATCCTGGGTGGCAGAGGCTTGGACTTAGACTTGGGGAAGACTCCCACCTAGATTAGGGAAGACTTGCTATGCTAGGCTGGGTGGACTAGTTAGTCACCCCTGGATTAGAGAGTTGTGTATGTTTTACATGTGGTTTGTTGAGGTTTTGTAGTGCTAATTTAAGTGGTTTCTTCAAGGGATCCATCCTTGCATTGCAACAGAGGGTGCCTTGAAATGGAGCAGTGCAGAGATTAAGGATGGATTGAAGGGAATACTTCAGATGGCATGTGATTACATAACAGCATTCTTGTTCATAATGATGGCTGCCCATTTGGGTAGCTGGAGGAGGGGGCTGGAAGAAAGGCTATCTGTGGCCCAGAAACTTTACATCAGTGTTTTTCAACCTTGGCAACTTTAAGAGGCATGTTAAGGGCCCCATGGGATGCTGGCTGGGGAATTCTAGGAGTTGAAGTCCACGCCTCTTAAAGTTGCCAAGGTTGAAAAATACTGCTTTATATGATATCCAGCAGCAGAGGTAATAACCTCCGATTAGCAGTTGCTGGAAAATGCACAGGTGGAAGACACCGAGTGGTTACTATACAAGGGGGAAAATGCACCAGTAGATAGTTCTTGGTTTGATTCAACTTGACCATTTTTGCATTCTTAGTCCTCACAAACTCTGTGTCCTAGTACAGTATCTGTTTTACATTGCCTTGATAGTTCCTGGAAGATGATGTTGACAGATGTTTTATGCCCCAGACCATTTTGAGGGCTTGCAAACACCTACCATGCTGTGAAGCATTGAAAGGAGACTGCTTGAAGATGTAGTTTGGAGTATTGGGGGGGGGGGTAGAGACAAAGGATTTGCTTCTGCCTCCCACTTGCTTTTTTTTAGCCGTGGCTACAGTATTCTAATCTCAGTCTGAGGGTAGTGAAGAACTGCATGTGGGCAAAAATACATAGGCTTCCTTGAGTCAAACTCAGCTCACAGTGAGTGCATGCAGTTGCCCTAGCATTGTTGTGTGAGTGGTTTCCCATCGCCTTCTTTCAGGTAACGAGAGCTGCTGTTACCTGCTAATTTGTAGGCAGTGGATCCGAAACTTAATCCTAATAGAGTAGAAGGGTTTCTCAGAAGCTAAGCAGATTTGGGTTTTGGGGAGCAAAGGTAGTAGTAATGAGAGCCCCCCCCCATGTGTCCATTCTGCAATGTGCAGTTCTGGACCCTTGACAGGAGTATCTTCACAGAGCAACCCTGAGTTTAAAAGTGCACGTCATGAAGCCCACCTGTTTGGTAACCAGGAAACACATACGACCAAGTGCGCACAGTCGCCTGCTCGGCTTGCAGGAGAGGCCTCGTTCTATGTTTTTCTATTCTGCAAATGCAGATTCATGACCTGGGCCCGCTTATCAGTAGAATTCCACTGCCCCAGGAGAGGCACACCTGCTTACCTTTGAACGTACGTGACCAGCAGGTGGTAATTGTTTTCTTTGAATGTATATTGTATGTTATTGTCTGGGGTTTGGAGAGCGGTTTTGCTATTTGCTTTATTATGCTTTTGTCGGCTTGTAAACTGTACCTTGTCTGATCTCAAAAATTAAACAAGGTCAGACCTGCTTTAAATCTGGATGGGAGGCTATCAGCAAATCCCAGTGTTGTAGGCTGGACTGAGACATCGGAAACACCCTAAAAAAAAAGATAGTGGCCACCCACTGCCCTGCTGTTGCCAAGAAAACAACATGGGTGTGTTGGTGAAGCCACCAGAGTCAACTTGAAAGAGACTTTATGCCAACAAAACATATTTAAGCAACTCTGAATGTAATTTTTTGGTTAAAAAGGAGGTGGAGAGAAATAATGTTTACATAAATTCTTTGGTTAATGTGTTGGCTTTAAAACAAGCAAAGTGGTATTCCACTATAACGGTTGTTTTGCTTTAGGGTTTACATACAGGCAGTAATAGGTACCAGAAAAGCAGACGTGCAGTTGGAAATCAGTCTCCGTAGGCTTCGTCATGTTTAAGTTTCTCTCTGCTGCAGTGGCATTTGATATAGCACACAGAGAAGAAATGGTCAGAGTTCTGCGCTTCAGTAAAGCGACTCATCCGAAGAAGGTGGCAGGTTGCCAGAATACTTTATCTGTTGTTCAGTGGTTTGATACCTCTTCAGAAACATTAAATGGGAGAGGTGTCTGTCTCTACACATAACACTTTTCCCGACGTGTGCGTATGAAATGTGCACACTTTCTCTGCCCTTCTTGCATATAAAATACAGCTGGGAGAAGAGATTTCTCCCATGGTTGGCCTTCTGTCATTCTGAATGCACATAAAAACAATCAAGGCAGCTACTTTGCTTTCCTTGGTCTCTGGGGGTCCACTTCCTGTTCTGAATTTCCAAAGCAATTCTTATTCCAAGGAACTGGAGGATGCTTCTAGATATAGACCACAGCTGGATGGAGCTCATCTCTTGATTTACAAAGCCCTTGATTGTAAATTCTACCATCTGCAGGTGGCCAACCTGTCTTGCCCCCTTAAACGCCTCCATCTGTTCTCCCTTGCTTCCACAACACCATCGTTGCTCCCTCCCCTCTTAGATTTCTTTAATCCTTTGGCTTAATTTTTCATCCCAGTTTAAATAGCCAACACTACTATTCTTTTGTAATACCGTCCTTCTACTACACAGGACTATTCAAGGATAAAAGCTACTCATTAAAAAAACAGCAATACAAGCTAAAAAATACAGTAGATGATAATCCTGTGTAGTGCATTCCCTTTAATTTATGCCATTCTTCTTCCATTTTTAACTGTCAAATTAAACTCCTTGGAGAAGAGACCCATTTCTTTGGCTTATTTTGCAGTATTCAGGAAGTACCAGAGACATCAATTAGAACAAAGTCCCTTCTAAACTGCTTTGCCCTTTCTGTTCTTTCTGTTCCCTCTACTTCTCCAGGTTCAATGACATTAGCTCTGTTCCTGGTCATTAAAGATGGACCTGGTAGGAAAGAGAAAGGAAAGGGTTCCATCAGTCTCTTCTAGCTAGAATGAGGGCTTGGGACTTCTTCCTGCCTCATGAAGGAATAAGTCCTCCTGTCCCTCCCTTCACTTTTTATTTCTGCCTTCTAGGAAAAAATAGTTTTCTCTTGACCCAGTCTTTGTAAGGGACAAGAATAAACATGTACAATAGTTGCTCTCAACTTTCTTGAGAGTGATAGAGTTCTCTTTTTAGCGATAAAGCCAAGCCACCTCTTGAGGAGAGAAGCGTTGTGGAACAGTTGGGTTGATTACAGCCTGTACAATCTAGATATTGGTAATGAGAGGTAGAGCCAGCTGACCACTTTGGAATGTTTTCTGTGGATAAAATAATTTGCATCGGTGTCATTTTTGACAATTGGAGGTGGATGCCATCAGGATATTTGGATGCTTTAAAGCTTATGTGAGTGGAGAGTTGGATAAGGGAGAGCTACTATCCACACTTTAGCTCTTTACTGATCTTAGGTTTTAAAATCTGATATAGATGAAAGAAAGCCAGATTGGTGCAGTGGTTAGGGCACTGGGCTACAAAATGGGAAACCATGAGTTCTAATCCTGCTTACGCACTAAGCCAGCTGGGTGATCTTGGGCCAGTCCCTCTCTCTCAGCCTTAGGAAGCAGGCAAACCCACTTCTGAAAAACCTCGCCAAGAAAACTGCAGGGACTAGTCCAGGCAGTCACCAGGGGTCAAAAACTGACTTGAAGCCATCAAAGGAAACAAACAAAAAAGCTGAAATGTTGGAATTCTGAGAATGAATGAATGAATGAATGAATGAATGAATGAATGAATGAATGAAATGTGTGTGTGTGTGTGTATATGTAGATGTTGCTGAAAAGCCCTGGTGTATGATGCTAGCAATTGTGGTTCAGTAACAGTGCAAGGCTCTACGCCCCTGACATGAAACTGAAGCTGAGGTTCTGCCTATCATGGCACAGAAGTAATTATATTGAATTCATGGCGGGGGTTCTGCTGACAGTGAATAAGTCATGCTGTGTTCTGCTTACTGGATGGTTTTAGTAAGGGGATGATATTCCATCTGGGCTACAGAGCTGATGGCTGGCTGTTGCTTGTTTATACTTTTCAGGAGAGAACACTGGAAACTGTTGGGTAATCTGAAGACTACTGTGGAAGGCTTAGTGTCTATCAACAATCCCAATGTCTGGTCTAAATATGGTGGCTTGGAGCGGCTTTGCAGGGATATGCATAGCATCCTATATCATGGTCTCATCCTGGACAAGGTAGGCTTCTCTTCTCTTGGCACTGTTTTGATGGCTGCACTTTTGGGTGGGAAAGGCAGTCATATTTGTGTTTTATGATGTTTTTAACAGTTGTTGGCCATCCAATCATGGATTTGAGGTGAGCAGCCATATAAACTGAAATAATCAGGGGAAGGGACTGGACTTCTTCTTTGCCAGTATTGGGGGTGGTGATTGTTGCCCCCAGTGTCATTAAAATAGGTGGAAGTGTGGTTTTCCATACCCACCGTTATTTTCAGTTTGAGAGGAGAGAAAGTAAAGCTTATTAACCCTTTCAAAAATGGAAGACCCTGTGCTGATTTCCCTTGTTCAGATACTTCAGGGGCACGAAGAGGGTGTCAGAACTGCAGAGAGAGTCCTGCTTAGGCTCAGCCTATGGGCTTCCCATTCTTGATTTAGAGATGACCAAAACTCTGCTAGGGATTGTGTTTTAAAGACAGTAAGTATGAATGATACCGGTAAGGTTGGGAGCAGAGAACCAGGCATCTGGATCAAAAAGGACAGAGACCTAAACTCTCTAGCATGCTGTGTTTTTAATTTGTTTTTGTGTAAAGAGGAAATTATGGCTGCATGAGCTGTGATCTTGCCCATTATTTCTCAATCATACCACTGATAGTACCCAGTAATCTAGATGAGACATGACTCTTCTCCCCCAAGAGTGAAGGAACCTACCAGAGAATTAGGGGAGCAGACAAGGAGGACAGATCACCTCTTGAATACTTTGGGATACTTGGCATCTTAGCAGAGTGTTTCTTAGATTAAAGCTATGTTTGAAAGGCTTGCGTTTAGGAGTCAAAACAAGATACAGTGGGGCAAAAAAGTATTTAGTCAGCCACCAATTGTGCAAGTAATTTTCATCATAGGTATACCTCAACTATGAGAGACAAAATGGGGGGAAAAATCCAGAAAATCACATTGTCTGATTTTTAAAGAATTTATTTGCAAATCATAATAGGCCTGTAATTTTCATCATAGGTATACCTCAACTATGAGAGACAAA